ACCAGAAATTTTGACTTTGACATTCTACTTTAAGAATAAATGATTTTTAATATTTTTACATTCTAAATATAAACATAAATAACTAATATATCTAGGTGAGTCTTTGACCACTCTAGTAGGTTTAGATCACAGATAAATATATTTAAGCTTTTATTCTTGTATGTAATTTTTAATTTTATTTATACTTGTACAAATAGTAGTATTTCTATATAGTTTTTATATAGTTTCTATTCTTAAAATTATTAATAAAGATACGAGCAAGACCTCACCTTAATACCAAAAAAAAAAAAATAAATAACTAATATAAAGTTTAGTTTAGTTTATTTATAATACTATATAATTTTTATAATCCTATACAGGTTTAATCATACTATCTTTGTTTTTTTTTCTTTTCAATATTTGTTTTATTTGGTTTTATTTGTTTAGGTGGACCAGAAATTTGATATTGAAATATTTCTTTATTTTGTTTTGTTTTTTGAATTTGGGTTTGTACTTCATTTTTGTAAAAAAAAAAAATCAATTCTGATATAATGTATAGCACCAGCCTATGACTAAAAGATTCAAGCTTCTAGTAAGTTAGAAACCTGAAAAAGGCTTGAAGTTCTCTGAGACAGATCATATCTGGCATAAGCATGAATAAATCATTTTTTGAATAGATTAGTATAGCAATTATTAAAAAATATAAATTTTTTTAATTTAGTTTAATCTCAAATAAAAAGTAGCAAAACTGTTAAATTATAAAAAAAAAATTGTTATAAATTATAATCAAACCAGATTAAATTAAAATTAAATATTTATTTAATTTTTAAAACCTACTTATACTTGTTTACTATAAATTCTATCTTTAAAGCTAATCTCTAATATAAAAAAAAATCAAAACATACATTTCAAAATTTTGTTTTTTTGGTAATTTGTCTATTTTACATTATATAAAATTTTGGTTTAATCTAATTTTATTTTAATTTGTCCAATAATTAATTAACAAGTTAAAAACTTAATACCAAAATTAAAAATTTTTTTGAGATACAAATCTTTTTATATCGGACCATAAATAATTACTATGTAATTAAAATACTTAGTTTGATACTAAAACAAGCTATCCAAAATTAATTTTAAATTTATATTTTCAAAAATTGAATAAAAACAAAATTTAGCTATTAGACCAAATCGAAAAGTGCCGGCATAAAATTGATTGTTTCTCGAATCTTATTAAATAAAGTTGCTAAGATGATTTTGCTAATATAGTTGGTTAGTATTATTGCTTAATGCCGGCCTAACGTTGATAAATTCCGATCCCTAAATTTTGGTCGATCTGCTGAATATTGTTGTGCGGCTAATCTACTCGGTTGCACAACCTAATCCATCCTCAAAATTTATACAATGTTAAGTTTATAACAAACAAAGGTTTATTATAATTCTTTTCGTTAGCAAAAACATACTCATATAAAAAAACAGCGTCGTAATAATACTTTTTTTTTTCTGATCGTCCATTTCATTCACTCGAGACAGTGAGGATAAATATCATTAAATAAAACTTTACTACAAAAAGCCTATATTATATAGGGTTTATCAAGCCAATCAAATTAATAATCATCTGTTTTTTTATATCATAATATATGAAAATCTATTCAACCTTAACCCTGATTTCTGTTTACAAAATCCATTCCTGGTTAGTTTGGATATTAAATGCACATATGTTGTATTTATTAACATTAATTTAACAAATTTGATTGGTTTTTTGAGTTTGACACTATTTATCGAAAATGGGAGATATATTTGGGTTTAAGTTATGAACCCAAATTAGGTAGAAATCCTGATTCCAAAACCCAAACTATGTATATTTCAAAAAAGTGGTTTGGGCCGCAACCCTAATTATAGCCTGAATTAGATAAGCAAAAAAAAAAAAAGATTAAAATTAAATAAACAAAGATAAATATCACTGGGGAAAAAAAAATCAAAATTGACTTACTCGCTAAATGCATGGTGATTTTAAAAATAAATTAACAAAGAATTTAGATTTTGAAAGTCAAGCAGGAAAAAAAAAGATAAAAATAGATAAATAAATAAATAAATAAACATAATATGCTAATAAACCAATATTTAAATAGCAATAATAGAAAGGATTAATGAATTAATTATTCATACGCACGTAAAAATAAAAAGATTATTAGTGGCAGCCACAGCAATCGAATTTTCATTTGGATGCCATGAAGCATGAAGAATTTTCTTATTGAAATCGATAGCATCCACATTAATCTCTTCTTTCTTATTATTCTTTCCACGAAGTATTTTGTTACTCTTCGTTGATACGACACGTTTTGCCTTAAATGCGCTCTTATCAGCCTGCAGAGCAATATCAGTTAGACCATCCCGATCATAAATATGGAAATAATTATTATATGAACCGGTCAAGACATTTCTATAAAATTTCAAAAAGATTAAATGAAAAGATGATACGAAATGCTGAAATAAATACGACGAATGCAAATTAAACAACATACTGGCCATCACCACTAAATGTACACTCAAATTTGTCAAAAATACAATCGTTTTCGTAAAGGTCGCAAAGCTTATTTCGTAAGTGATCGTGAATATTGATTGTTTTCAGTGGTCGATTTTCCATGGATATGTCCCAAATTTTAAGGGTCAAATAATCACGCGAGAGGATGTATCGACCATCTTTACTGAATTTCACATCAGAAATAGAAGAAATAATTTCCGAAAAAAAAGATTTATTTGCGGGATCCTCTTGCTCTTCGAATACTTAAGTGTGAAGAATGTTAGATACATATGTAAAAATATAGACATGATTATCAAATTACAATCAAAACAAAAAAGTAATACATTTTGCGTGTCTGTCGCACAAAGCCGCGGCTCTCATATCGCTAAGCTTTATAGTTCCTTTACTGCTACTGTACATAAAAAGGTTGCAATGAATGGGATGAAATTCCGCAGCGGTAATAACTTCAGTCAGTTCTTCCATATTTATCGGCTTAATATCAACAATATCTGAAAATTGGGTTTGCAGTAAAGGAATCATAGGAAACATGAAATTAAGAGAAATAAATGGTTAAGCAGACACGACCAGTCAAATATCAAAGGATACTAAAACTTTGATCACTAATGTTTAAGTTCCAAAGATTAATTCTTAAGTCATCCGCAGATATATATGTTTCACCATCAGAGTTAATTGATATGGAATTAATATGATAAGCATGTGCATTAGCATATACTTTGCGAGGAACAGCTGCAATAATTGTGTCATGATGTGTAAGTTTAGGTAGCCTTAAATGTTGGATTTTTCCATTTTGAGGTCTCGAACCATCACTAAGATTATTTTCTGCCACCACCTTCAGAGATTTTTCGAAAACTTTCCAAAGTTTGACAGTTTTGTCTATGATTCCAACAAAAAAAATAAAAAAAAAAATAAAAAATAAAAGCATTTATTTTACATACAATTTACTGAAAAATGATAACAGACCCCAGGAAATTATTCAATAATTTATAAGACAGACCATTCGTTGATAATAAAAAATGCGCAGCATTCTGCCGCTTACACCATTTGATCTTATTGATTTTTTCTTCGATTTCCAAACTTTTTAAATAGTCGAATTCGGGTTCGTGCGATTGAAATTCGGTATAAAATTTGTATTCACATCCTTTTTTCTTTATTTATAAAGAAATATAATGTTTTATAAACGCATAATAATTTATATATATATTTTTCTTGGTTCTTTTTTTTTTTTTCTTTTCTTTTTTTTTGGGGGGGGGGGGGGGTTGAAAAAAAAATATATAAAAATTAACAACTTACGCCATCATTACGTTCAAATAAAACCACTCGTCCTCCTTTGTCACCAGTGGCGAGGTAATCACCCGTGTGGTCAAATTCCACGGTCGAGATAATGTCAGCTGCATAGTGGAAATATAGTTGTCAGACCTATAGAATCTTTGTTGCAAAAGAAACCGACATCAAAATGATTCACGATCTGGCACTAAAAGACTGTATGTATACTATCTGTACAAAATCAGATCATATATATATAGTCCAAACTATTCTATCCAAGGCATAGATACATATATCCAACTCAGCAAACATTTTATTGATCTGCAGCAGAGAGTAGTAGAACATTGCTTAAACACGGTCAGAGAGTAAATCCTAAATGACGTGAGCACTCTCATGAATATTTATGAGTGCAATAAAGCAAAGACTCATTGCACATCCAAATGTTATGTTGGGAACCCACAAAAACAATCTCATCACGTAGCCAATAGGTTAGATCCGGTCTGTAAAATAACAGCCAGGAAGATCGAAAGAATAAGTACCTTCTGTAATGTCTTCGACTTCGCCCTTGTCCCCGAAACATTGAGCAAATTTCCAGCCATTATCCGTTTCAGCCGCCATGTTTAAGGAGAGAAATAGATAAGGGAGGAGAGTATTAGTTTTTTGGAAAAAAATCAAAAGTGGTTCGATGCTCTTGTTGTACAACGTTTATTTCAAAAGGTAACACAGCAATGTCCCGGCTTACAATAAAGTCACGTGAACGATATAATATCAAATTTCATTTCGTAATAATTTACAAATTTTTGATAAATCACTCTAACTAGTTTCAATGCTAATCTCAGCATATAGATGGATATTTTTAATGAGTTTTTAATGGCATGTATTTTCCAAACTAAATGGAAAACTATCGTGGCCATGCCAAGATTAGTGAAATGTTTGAAAGCATACTCAAGTCATGTTCTCGCGAAGAGAGTACTAATGACAATAATATAACATAGCTAACTATCATCCAATAGATGATAAATGCAATTCTCTTTATGGTTCAAAAGTGTTTGTAATAATTCTTATTTGAATTCACCTTCCTTATCCATTTTATTTCAATTACAATTATGTTATATAATCATTTGACTATTTATAATATATACGTATATATATATATATATATATATCGATATATATTTATTAATATAGGATACCCAATTATCGTTACATATTGTACGCAGCCTTTTTTTTAGTATATATCGGTATAACAATAATTAATATAAAGATTTACCATTACGCTTATATATATATCGATAACTACGTACGTGTACGTATCTAAATGATACCGATTGTATCTGCAACTAATAAATTAACGTTAAATTAAATTACAAATTATTGTTATAATCAACATAAACGGGTTTGTACTGTACATTATTACATAATTTACATAATGATAATGTAAAAAATATATATATATATATAATTATAGATATACGTACTATATAAATACGTATATATTTATATATATTATATATATACACATATTATATATATATATATATATATACTACGTATATATACGATTAAAATTTAAATTATATATTATCAATTCTTTTACCTTAAAAAAGTGTTAATTTATCTAAATTAGTAATTAATAATGAATATCTAAAATTACAATTCATTATTCAGGTATGGGGCTATGAGGAAACCAAATATCTGTACTTAGAAATCCAGCATTAAATGGGGTCTTTGCCTTGAAAATGACCTTACGGTATCATGTACCGTAAGGTCATTTTCAAGGCAAAGACCCCAAATAGTCTGTATTTAGAGTGAATTTTTCAGTTAGGTGTGTTTAGGTTGACTATATTGTTAAGTTAACCAGCGCTAGATAGATGTATTGTTACGTTACTTACAATGCATTCATTTATTAATTCATCATCTGGCTTCTAATCACTCATTTTTTCAAAAACGCATATTGTCAATAGCGCACGTGTTTATTTTCGAAATCTATAAATACTCGATAAATTCATGCTTAAAAACTATGGTTATCCGAACAATAAAAACAAGGTTTATCACTTTTAAATATCTACATAGACAATCAAATTTACCTCGTTTCTATTAAGCGGGGCCATCATGTCTCAATTCAGTTAGTTCGTATCTTAAACCATACAAAATTTATAATTATGAATTTTAAAAACTATCCGCAAATCCGAAAAAAAGCTTATTCGGAAATTCCCACGAAAACCTATTCGAAAGGATCATGAAACAAATTAGCTAATTTAAATGGCCTTATTTTTACTGTATGTAGTGTCTTAATTTTAACGAGACTTATAAATAAATATGCCAGTTAAATGAAACTAGGGTGGTGAAATAACTTTTCTACTATCTGTAACATTGGTAAAGTTAGCTTCACTATCAACTCTACTTATAAGTATACATATATTTTTTACTTGTAAATCTATAATATTTATTTAACTACATGTTTAATTTCTTTATTCTCTCAACTATTAATATTTAGCTGGCAAATTTGGCTATTAAAATATAAAAAAAATTTATTTGTATACTGTACTATATATATAGAGAGAGAGCAATTTAAATATATTCAGTGAACCTCCTATATAATCACATGTTTTTTTATTTAAGAACTTTTTATTTTAATTTTTTTTACTGTAATTTGGCTTTTCACTCTTGTTTATTTAAGATTAAATCATTTAAAAAATTTATACAAAATTTTTATCTATTGTATGATTATAACTAATCTAATCAAAACAAAAGCTTGCATATACTTAAACTAAACATGACCTGCTTCAGTAGCAAATGGTCTCCCTTTGGGTTTTTAACTTACTAAAAACTTTTTTCTTTCTGTTTATTAGCTAGCAGCTATATGCTTGTCAAGAAGCAAAATTAAGCAAAAATATAATTCAGAACTAAAAAAAAAATATAGAGGTTTAGAAAATACAATATAACAAAACTTATAACAAGAAAAGAAAGTAATGAAAATATTAAAAAAAAATAAAATAAAATAAAATAATTTTGTTAAACCTAATATTACAATTATAAGTCTATGCCAAGCTTGTAAAAATTATATACTACTAAATAAATTAGTTTCTATTTTAAATTTATCTAATTAATATATTAAAGTAAAAACTATTTGAAAAAAAACTTTATCAATCAGTATAATAGTAGAAAATCAGAACATAGTTTTAAAGCATTGTTTGAAAATTTTGAATAATCTATAAATAGCTAACAATTTATAATATTATTAAATATAGAAAAAATTACAAAAAAAAGGTCTAAAATAAGCAAATAAATTATTATAAATAAAAAAATTAACAAAAAAAATAGTCTGAAATAAGCTAACTAAAATTCTATCTGTTTATAGTATTACAAAATAGATTTTAGTATGAATTTTACTTAATTATTTTTAGTTATAAATATTCAATATTTGTATTTGTATATATCTAGTTAAAATAGTATTTATTATTTTTTTTATAATTTGGCAATCTTACCTCTGTTTATTTGAGATTAAGCTATTTAAGAATTATACATTTCTATCTGTAGCTATTGCTAATTTAACCAAACTAGAAATTCACCTCTGGCTTTTGCCCAGGTGCGAACTGCTTCAGTAGTTCTTGGCTTCCTTTCAGATTCTTAACTCACTAAAAATTTATTTCCCTTTGGTCATTGGCTAGCGACTATCTGCCTTGTCAGTACTAAAGCTAACAAGAGAAATTACACAGCCTTTTGACAGCAACATATAACACTATGACAAATTGATTATCAGCCTTCAATCTAACGAGAATCTACCTAATTATATTTATATTCCACAACATAATTGCACTTTGACTATAGCCAGTACTTGCAAACAATGCAAAACATCAAATTGTTAATTTTAAAATAAGATTATTATATTGTGTATTCTTTATTCTATAAATTCTAAAAATTTTGCTATTACTTAATTTCTTCTGTGATCTACTATAGTTATCCCAATTCATCTTTTCATACTTCATTTCTTTTCTTTCTACTGGTAGTCTGTTCTGGTGCTTCAATCTTCTACTTTCTCCTTTCTTTTTATGTTTCTTTCAGTTTCTAAGCTTCACTTTATTCTTCTTGCTCTTAATTGTATTCTTTATACAGATTTCTTTCAGAAAGTATTCATCTGCAGCTTTTTCTTTCTTCTAGTTTCTTTGATATTATTTTTGATTCTTCTGCTTCTAGGTCTTGGTTAATTTGTCCAGATCTTCTTTTTCTCTTTTGTCAAAACTTTGTGTTTTCTCTCTTTCTTCTATTTTATAATTTTATATTTCTTCTAATAAGTGTCTTTCAAAATTTTGTATATTTTTCTTTATCTTTTGATCTTTCTAAAAATCTTTTTACTATTTCCAATATAAAGTTTTTCTTTTTTCTCTTTCAATTCTTGACTGTTCAGAGCTGTATATCTGCTTTCTCTTTTCTATTTCATAAGTTTGCTTTTCTTCTATATAACTTCTTTTGTAGTTTAAAGTACTTCTTTTGATTTTCAGCTACTTTTCTTATACTTCTTCTTGCTATTTTAAACCTGATGTCTTTCTTTTTTCTTTTCTAATTCTTAACTTCTATTGTTCTCCCTGTTGCTGCATCTTATATAATATTATCTTCATTTATACTAGTGTTACAGTACCGTGGCCTTCTTAACAGCAGTACTATAACAATAACACGGCTACAGGGATCCTTCACAGGTTTATAGCAGTGTCCAACAGGTAAGTATAATTTCTGCTTCTTGGAGAAACT